GGGGGGGGGGGGGGGGTGTTCATTTGCATGTGTGTTTCTACGTGTGAGAGCTGCTTCTATAAATACAAGGTGTTGATGATAGCTAAGCAGTTAAAGGCAGGAAGGGAGGACGAGCGGAAAACATGAGGAGCGAGAGGAAGAAGGGATGGAGCTATTATGCTGCTCAGAAGTGGAGAAAAAGCATAGATTAAGAATCCAGCCTGGTGCCATTAATCTCTTCTTTACTGTCTAACTACACAGCTCACAGCTCTCCATATCCATTCATCAACCAGATACTTGCTAAATCATAGCAGGAAAACCTGCTGCTCCTCAATTTGCGCAGGGATGACTGATTGAGGCGCCGATCGCCCATAGCACTCGTCTCCCCTTCGCAAAGTTTCCCCCTTCCCACAATTTAGACTTTTCTTAGCCAGGGATTAGAGGAGCTGATGAGGGTCGATGGCTGCAGTCATCACTGACAATTCACCCATCTGTATTGCTCATATCCAAATATTTGCATGCAGGGAGTTGCTCGCCAAAGTAGGTTTCACTGCTCTGACCTACTTAAGTTGTTTTAAGCTGAATGACGCCGGTGAGGAAGAGTTCTGACGAAGACAGGAGGCTGTGAGGAGCGAGCGCTGCAGCGACAGGCTTTACTAGAGGCTGTTGTTCAATTAATTCCTACAATCTCTTTTCCTTTCTTTTTTTAATTGCACATTATACTGTATGTGTCTAATGTTACATCAATACCTCCGGGTGAAACGCAGTTTTTGTGGCATAGCAAGCATAAGCAGACTTCTCTGGTCCAGATCCAGTCTGCAGGCAGCCGACGGGCTGGAGCTGAAGTGACAGGTTCATTATTTTGACATTACCTTGTATGGTATGACAACTGCAGAGCCACCGCTGATGCCCACGATTGGCAGAGCTGTCTGAGTGGAGAGGAAGTCCAGGATCTGTGCCACTTCTGCCACCTGAGGACAAAACAGACGGGTTCCATGTTTCCAGAAGGAAAGTTGAGAATGTTGCACCAGCTCAGTGGAACTTTGGATCGTATCATAAATTAAGATTTGATGTCATTTCTAACTTTAATTGTCCACTTTCAATTCCAGACCACATGAAGGATTCTAGTTTTAGGAAACAAGGATGTGGGCGACTGAACACCGTGACTCTGCCGAGGAGCTTTTACCTGAACTCCGGCACCGGAGCCCACATCGTCCTCGAACACCACGCCGTGCAGCTTCTCTGTTGCCATGGTATCACACAGGCGTGTCAGCAGGTCGCGGGGGTTGGTGTCGTTGACCAGCACCGTCACGGGGCTGACCACCACGGGCAGGTCCACGAAGTTTTCCCCGCTGAGACGACCCCTGACCTCATTCTGGTAGCTGGAGCCACTGAAGACCACCGCCACGTTGATGGACGGGTGGAGGAGGAGAGGCCGGGCCTGCAGGGGGAGCGGGGAGGAGATGAGGAGCAGGAGGAAGAGGAGGAGGAGGAGGAAGAGCGGAGACCGAGGAGAGGGAGGAGGTATGGCCATGATGCCAGCCTACTGCCTGGAAAGGAAAGGGGGCAGAAAGAGGAGGGAAAGAACGAAAGGAAGGAGAAGGACGGTCAAACACAAGTGCTGCTTCACTTTTATGATGATTCGACATAATCCATCAGAACGTCTCCATCTTTTGTTTCTCCCTCGTGGTCCGTCGCTCTCTGACCTCTTTGTGCTTCAGAATTAGCGTTTAGACTCCTGTGTCATGAACTGTGTGTGTGTGTGTGAGCGCAAGTGTGCATACATGTAATCCTCTGTAATCCAGCCCCCAGTGTCATGACTGTAATCACCTCCCCATCTCTACACATCTGTAATTCAGCACACACACACACACACACACACACACGAAACAACTTTCACTCATACAGTTTGTGTTTCAATGGGCTGTTTGCTCGACCGGTGGTAATGATGGTCTCAGCTTTTTAATTTTGAAACTGTAAAGCTGCAGAAGTAAAGTCCTGCTGCCGGACTCTACAGAACAAAGAGCTGCTCACCGGTTTATCCAAAGATTGTCAGTAGTCAAACACTCGTTGTAACGTGCAACACCTTCATATTCACGTTTTTTCCCGAATATCCCCGGTGATGCTTTATCTTCTTATAAAGATTTTTTGGGGGATTAACGTCTCGTTAAGCTGTAGCTGTTCTCTTAGGTGCGTACATACATTTATCTGCTGGAACCACTTCAATTATACGTTTCTTTTTGAAGGCGTTTCTTTTGATAAAGTATGAGATCTCCACACACACACACACATACTGTATTTAATAGTTTTCTATAGAGTGTCTGTCTCATCCGTGGCCATCAGAGACACCCTGTTAATTAACAGCACCTCCCGTCTTTGATTCAAAGCTCTAAGCAACACTGGGTTAAAACGTGCCCCGCCCCTCCTCACTGTTCATGCTCCTGGCATATCAATCATTCGATTTAATAAGGTTTGAAGCTCCCAGGCATTAGGCGCCCAAAGAAATAAATATACGGTTTGAACCTTTTAGAGACAATCCATCCCCGTTATTAGATACAGCCTTCAATCAATACAGGGCCACCGCTGGAATGATGGACGTGGAACAGCCTTTTTAAAGGATTTCATCGTAGATCTTGTGTGTTTAAGATATATGGGTTCGGAGAAGATCAGATATTTTTGCATGTTTTTCTTGTGTAAGAAATGTATTGAGCAGTGTCGTCTGCATGTCGTATTCACCAGCCTGTAGCAGCCATGCTCAGATCTACTGGTAGCAGATACGGGGTTAAGTTAACTTCAGTGTGGAAACGGAGGGTGATGATGACTGGGTGGATCACATGACCGGTGAGCGGGTCAAGCGTTCATTTAACTGCGTAATCTCTGGAAAAAGGCAGCATAATGGTGCCTCAGATTAGCAGTGTGTGTGTGTGTGTGTGTGTGTGTGTGTGTGTGTGTGTGTGTCTGTGTGTGTGTGGTGGGGGTGGTTAGTAAATTGAAGGAGTAAGTGTATCTGCTCCAGATTAGCAGCAGTAGAACAGAGTGTGATTACACATCGAGAGGCTGTGAACACCAGGGACGGACCACAAAGTGTTGCCTCTGAATTTCAATCACACACAACAGCCATCTGATCAGAATCTTTCCATCTTTTTCAGCTGAATCTTACACAGAAGTCAATAAAATCAAGAGAAATATTTCAGATAAAAAGAGCTGCTGTGGAGCTGAAGATGAAAAAAGAAACTGTACGGTTGTGCATGAGCAGGTTTTACATTATTATGGAGATTTCCAGATGGAGCACAGCTCTGCCACGAGAGATAGACTCTCGCTGTGACTCAGGTAGGTTTGTACCTGCGTCAGCGTCGACACACACACACACACACACACACACACACACACACACACACACAGAGCAGTGTTCTATTCAGAAAAACTTGTAGCTGCAGTGAAATGTTTTGGAAGACAAGCTGGAACAAGCGTAGAAATGGACAATGTGATTACTGTGAGAAACATGACGACAGACATGCAGCTTTCCTCTGACTCTTGAGTAGTCCGTCACAAATGTATAATGTTTTTTTGTGTTTTTCAGCTGATACAGATTTTTTTTATCTTCTCTGCTCACGCAACAGAACAGGCCTTGATTAAGAGATTAAAATGAAATGGATGCATTGTTTGAAAGTCATACATGAACATAATCTTGTTTATGCTTTTGTTTTGTTACACTTTCAGTTCTTTAAAATAAAGGAAACTCTGTACAACAATATTAATTTTTATTAATATAATATATGTTCAACTAATTCCAGGAATCTCTTTCTGTCCAGCAGCAGGTCTTTATTCCCAGCAAATCAAATCAGCTGCAAACAGTTTCCATATGCAACAAAAAACCGCGACTCTGTCTCCCCTCATGTACGCTGCAAGAAAAATCTGTTGGACCAAATGTTCAGCACCATATACTGAACCTCCTGGGACATACAGTCATTTAACTACTTAGCGGGGATATGATGGAGTCCCTATGCTGAGTCCCCAGGGGGCGGAGAGGAAATGAGCGGAGAGGATCTAGTTGATGGGATGAGCATCATCACTGGAGAATTATCAACATGTCTGGCTTGAACCTTGTTTTTTTTTCCCCAGCACCTTTGAAAACTGATTTGATTGCATTAATTAGGGGGCTTGAGTTAGTGGGGTGGTATTAATGTAGTAGACGGCCTTACGCTCATCAACATACTGCAGGCGCTGTGCTCTGACAGCTGCTTGAAACATCAGGATTCTCCAGAGCCTCGTTTATTCAAACCTGAGAAGTCCAAAAAAAAATCCCTGTGAGAAAATGTATTATATTTTGTAGTAGTATTTACATTGATACTGGAAACTTAACTAGTTTATTTCAAGCTCTGCTGGCTGTGATCTACTGTATGTTACCACAACGTCCTACCACCGGGGGCAGCACTGAGAAATAAATGATCTGCTATATTGGATTTAACGTGGTTTGTACCACCTGTATTCTAATATAACAGATAAAATGAATATTATACAGATTCCACAGAGCAGCTTTTCAAAAACTCCCATTTCTGTGCACATAAAAACAGAGTATTGTGTTGTGAGCGGCTATGGAGCGGTTTCTCTACGTTTGGCAAGAGCTCTTCAGTCCAATACAAGTTAGCGGCTAAATTTAGCATTACTGCACATTTCTTATGGGATGGAGATATTCTGTAAAACGAAGGTCGAATGGACGGAAACTCGTGATGACAAACCCACTCGAGATTCACCCACTGAGCTGCTCCCCTCGGCTCTCGGGAGCAATTTACCATCTTTGACCTCATTCTCCTGATTCACTCTCAGAGGCCTCATCAGCATTGTTTGCTGGGAAAATCACTTTTGAGCTAAAAAAAAAAAAAAAAGCCCTGATGGACCCACCTGCTCAGACCCTGAATGGCAAAGTACGAATCTCGTCGGTGAGGACAGAGGAGCATTCAGCAACTACACAATAAACTTACACAATACACACAATACACACAATACACAAAGCCCCGTCTCTATTCATACTTTGGATTTATGAGACTCGAGGGAATGAAGCTCTCCCGTCACTGAAGTCATCATTAAATCAGTTACACTAACAGTTATGTACATGACAGTGAACACACCACAGACCCTGAACGAGGCGAAGCCGCTCTGTCAACGTCAAGCAGCTCGATGGCTCCACCCTTCCACTCCTCTTTTCATCCCTCCTTCTCGTGGATGACTTGCGGAGGCTGATGTGCGACCGTGTCACAGGCAGCTCGTGTGTGCGCACATGCATCATCCCGGCTAATAAACCGTCCACACACAAATTAAAATCACAATATGAATAAATGAGCGTGTCACACTTAACCCCCCC